GTGTCACATTTGCTAACTTCCAGACCACTGGGACCTCCCCAGTTATCAAGGATTGTTGATAAATGATTGAAAGGGGCTTGGTGAGCACTTCCACCAGCATTAAGTACTTCAGCATTTTCCTTATCCCTTGTCACTGCTTCCCCCCTGCATCCAACAAAAGATAAACAGAGGTGTAGGTGACAATGCAAGGCCCTCTGCAAGTCTCCCCTCTGTCCAATTCAAAAACAGCTCCCCAAACCCTAGAGCAGCTCAGCAGGTGATCCGATGGGCATTATGTCCTCTTGACTTCCTGCTTTCATGTAATAAACAGGCACCAGGCCACTAGTTCCTTATTACTTTATGGAGCTGATATAGTCAGCTGGCACTGCTGCCACATCACAAACACCCTGTACAGTACAAGCATTTCGTGGGATGTCACCCCCCTTCTTCACTGCTGGAGCAGGAAACACCCGGCTGCCCCAGCCTTGAACGCTTAGGCACCAGCACCCGGCATGGCTGGATCCGGTCCAGGGGGCAGTGCCTTCCCACAGCAGTGGGCACCCGCCGCTCTCTCAGGGGCTACCACAGGAAGCCTCTGGCTTCAGCGGGGACGCGGAGTGGCTGGCTCCATTTGTGCCAGGCTTGCAGGGCTCACCCTGCCCTCAGGACGTGGTGGGTATCCCTGATGGTGACAGGGCAGGCCCTGGACAGCCAGCTGCAAGGCAGGAGCAGGCCTGGGGCACTGCAGCATCACAGGCCCAGCATGGGTGACCGTGGCCAAGCCAGACCCAGCGGAACAGGAGCAGAGTGCAGGGACTTGCACGTCAGAACGTTTATTAATAAAAAAAGTCACAATAACTTACTCCCTTTGCCACACAAAGGGCTCGGTATAAAGAGCTCTGGCCTCCTAAGGTAACACAGGTCAGTGAGAGGTGGGTACTTTTCTCTTGTCCTCCGAGACAGTGGCCTTCTCCTGTCCCCAAGGGCAAGTGCAGCCAGTTCAGCAGCTACTGGCCAGGAGGGGCCTAGGCCATGGGGCCTGACACAGGAGCAGCCACGTGCCCCTGCCCACAGGTGGTTCGCAGGCAGCACAGAGCAGTGCAGGGTGCAAATGCTGAGTATATGGAGACCACAGGCACTGGATGCCAGAGGGTGTGCAAGCTGCAGTGGAGGAGGAGAGAGAAGTGTCTGCTTCTTCTCACAGTGCTGCGGGGTCTGTGGAGCACAAAAAATGAAGCAGCAGGACAGCGGGATGTGGGGCTGGCTGGAAGCCACCCTGCCTGGCCGGCTGCTGCCTCACACAAGGTCTAGCCTGGCAGAGGCAGGAGGCCAGCTGTGGCTACTTGTCACACTCCAGATCCTGGGCTCCCTCAGCACCCTGGTAGTGCATCTCACAGAACTCCTGAATGCGACTGCACGCCTCCAAGATCATCTCCTCAGGCACGGTGATCACCACGCGGAAGAAGTTTGGGTACTCAAAGCACTGAAATGAGAAAGGATGAAGCTGGAAGATTACCTGGGATAGCCCTGTAGTTTGAGAGCCCTGACCTGGGGCCACGTGCCGTGTCAGCAAGTGAAAATGGTCAGTGTAGGACAAACTGGAGGATAGGAGGGCTGGGCTTTTTCTCCCTTAGACTGTTTTTTGTTTTGTACCAAGCAAATCTTCCATCTCCATCTGCATAGACAGGATGCTGTGAGGGTAACGGGCCAACGGGCTCTGTATGGACTATGCAGGACCCAGGGAATGGGCTGGAAGGAGCTAAGGAAGAGAAGGCTGGACAATATCCAAGGCCCCATCCCTATTCAGTGCTGGAAGTGGAGCTGGAAGGAGGTGGGCACGGGCCACAGATGTTCTCAACCTGTAGTCCATCCCTGTGCCTACAGAGGCGGGGGACTGGAAATAGGGTGAAGAAAGGAACATAGGTGGGAGCAGTCCCAGGCCTCTGAGGGAGTGGCTTCAGAAGCAGGTGTGCGTGTACATAGGGTTCAGGGGTACAGCTCTGCCAGCGTGAGAAATACAAAGCCTGGAGCTAGGAAGATCCTGGCAGCCTGACTGTGAGCGAGCTGGAGACTGCCAGTCCCCATCCCTACACACTGCACTTGGAGCTCACAGCCAGCACATACACACCATGACAGACCACGGACACTGGTCATGTCCCAACCTGTCCCCAAAGCTCAGGGCTGCGAACCCCCATTGCTCCTCTCCCCATGCTTTGGCCCCACAGCTCCCTGGGGCTCTCAGTGTTAGGCTTACCGTGGCTGGCAAGCAGAACACAGACTGCTCCGAGATGAGTCGCTCAGTGAATTCCACATCATTTTCAAACTCAGGGAAATGCTCCATCTCGATCTCAACCTGCAGCAGAGAGATGTAACATGGCAACCAAGGGCACCAAAACTATTTGCAGTGTCCCTCCTTACCCACATGGCCCACCAACTTCCCAGTCAAGTGCAGCTGTCTGCCCTCGATTTTTGCTTATGGTTTGGACTGACTGGAATGTAAGACAAACAGAAACATGTACATTAAAAGTAAGGCTTCTTTAAGAAGTATTCATTAACTACCTAAAGCTAGAATTTCAGTTGAGGACAAATTTAACAAAAAAAGCTGATGGCAAAGATACAGTAACTGATTAGAAATTAAAAGGAATAAGTAAGATAGAGAAAAAGGGCTTGGGAGAGAACTCTAGTCAATATGAATCAAAAACTCTGTCATACAAGAAATCGATACAGTAAAAAAAAACCCAACAAACTAATGTTTTGATTAAAAAAATATAGCAAGGTCTAGAATATCATGAACAAATAAATCCTTGCAGGATGATATAATGGGTAAAATGACATGGCAATGCTGAAATGTTTAACAAATATTTCTGTTCTGTATTTGGAAAGAAGGAGGCTATTCCTTTATCACAGAAGGACAGTGATATCCTGGCTATTTGTTTATAAACAAAGATCATTTTAAACATTTAATGAAAATATTCTTAAACAAACCAGGTGAGAGAGAATTTGAATGCAGAAGCTCTGTAATAGCCAATGGAAGAAAAATTTTACCAGATGATTTATTTTAAATAAATGTTCAGATACTGCAGAAATACAGTGAGTGTGAAAGAATTTTAGAGCTGTGCCTCTCCACACAGAGTATAAGCAGAATGACCAGTGTAGGTCTGGGTAAGACTGGAAACGGGGTCAATTGCTAAAGACTTATCTGTAGAACATGAGTGAGACTGATATTGCAGTATTCTCCAGTTCTGGGTTCACATTTTTAAAAGCTGATGAAAAACTGGAGACACTGTAGGACAATAAAAAAGATGTGTTAAACTTAAGAGACTTAAATGTCTCAGTTGAGCTTGTTGAGAGGAAAAAGGAAATTTCAACACATTATAAAAAGTTTTTTTTTAAAAAAGGTATGGAAAAAGGGAGAAAAAGAGGCAACAGCATAGGCAGAAGACAGGCATGCCAGCAGGAAGAAGGGTACATCTTCAACAGGAGGTATGATAATCTGACTTGTGGTGTAGAGGCTTTCCATTGCCAACTGGCTTCAAATCCAGGTGAAACAACATTGTCTTGCAAAGTACAAGTTCTGTGCAGGAGCAAGTGGGTGAAGTGTGCCTGTCTCTGCTATGTGGGAAGTGAACAACATATTCTGGCCCTCTAAAGTGACCAGTGGGTCTATCTACCACACAGGACAACGTGAAAACGCACGGAGAACTGGTGGCAAGCACCAGTCTGAAACCATTGACAAGCACTGACGAGGAGACCTAGTGTGAGCGTTGATCTGCAAATGGCACGTCACTCTCCTTACTTACCATGAGGTACATGGCTCCGGCGGGCCGGACAGGCTGGAGGCCTGGGATAGCAGATAAGGCAGCATAACAAAGGTCAGCATTGGACTGAAAAGCAGAAAGGAGAAATTTCAAAATAGGAGAAATTCCAGGAAGCAGCTCAGCGAATGGAAGCCCAGCTCTGGACCAGGACTATGAACAGGTTTGTCCACTGCAAACAAAGGGACAGCAAATGCAAACAGCATGGGTGATGGTGGCCTTGACTGCAGCAGCTGTGACCAAACTGAGCTCAGCAATTGGTGTCAAACATCTCATCCCCTGGGTCCAGCTGCAGCACTGCGCTGCCCAAAACTTAGCCCAGCCAATACTTCTGCCCCAGTTACCATGTATCCTGCTGGAATTGAATTTATTGGGCTCTCCTGGTCACAGACAGAACTCCACCTTGACGCGGGGCAGGGAGGGATGATGAGCTAGAGAGATAGGATTCCCTCCAAACAATCCATGAACAAACTGAGCTGACCTGTTGCAGCTGTTTACCTTGAGGATGCTGAGGGTGTTGTGGTAGAACTCAGGGGGTGTTCGCTGCAAGATACGCTCCAGTGCTCCTTGGACAATCGTACAGGGTCCTAGGATCCTCTGACTCAGCCTTAGGAGGCCATCCCTGATCTGAAAAAAACATGGTGATACTTGCAAATCAGACACTTCCCTGAAGGAAGGGGACAGCTCCAAGACATGCTCCCTGTGTTTCTACAGCTGTTCACACCCATCTTCAGTGAGCATAGAGTCCTAAAGAACATTTGCTTGACTATGTGCCAGGTATTTAAACACTATTTACAGTGTCATTCTATGCTTCTTCACTGCAGATTTAATGCCAACGGAGACAACATTTGGAGCTTCCCAATCTGACTCAAACCACACTGGAACATAGATAATACAAATAAAACCAGAGCTGTTCCAAATACGACTTTGCATTTCCCTTAGGTTTACGCCCACAATCCACACTTTCAAAGCCAAGTAGGGACAACCAACATTAGCTCTTCTGGCTCACTGCCTTGGTCCTCTCTTCTCCCTCCTCCTCTGCAGAAAGCCCTCTAGGTGGAAAGGTCTCGGCAGTAGATGGCTGTTCTCGTGACACTTCTGAACAAGGAGGCAGAAAAAGCACTGGCAGCACTGCAAGGTGCTTTGCTCTTAAGAAAAACAGTGTAAGAGCACATAGAGTCCAGAGGTGGACTCCATACGCTGGATAAGTCATACAATACCTTCAGTGCACACCTGAGCTTTTTGAGAAGAGAAGGCATTAGAGGCACACAAAAAGGACAAGGCATATATGAAGAAGTGTGTTACAGTGTAGATGGGGGTAGAAGGCCGTGTATGGGAGCAGATGGAGTAAGGAAGGGACATGAAAAGCCTAGAGGTGCAGAACAGGGTGTAAGCAATTGGGTGATACCCATGTGAGACCAAGAGGACTGCACACGCCTGTATCAGTTAGAGCCCTGGCACCCACACACTGAAGACACTGCAGGTCTGTTACCATGACAGCGTCACTCAGCAATTCTCACCTCATTGCCAAAGATGTCTCTCCTGTCATGAATTAGGATCCAGCCCATCCGCCAGCCAGGGACTAGCCACCGCTTTGCCAAGCCACCACAGGACAAGATCGGCACGTTGGTGCTGAGAGTTGCAATGGGTTCGTATTTGCAGTCAGCAAACACCTGCGACAGGAGACTGTGTTAGGGCTGTCCTCCCTCCTTATTGTGAGAACTGTGGGGGTGTGCATGAGGCACAAGACGGGAAGCAGGATATTGTGAGAACTGTGGGGGTGTGCACAAGACGGGAAGCAGGGAAGTGATGGGAAATTGATGGTGAAAGCTCCCAGTTTTAAGGTATGAGGATGTAAGTGCCCTCACATGAAAGGGAGGCATTTGGGAAGAGGAAAGGAGCTGGACCTGAGAGATACTCCCAGCACTGCGCACCAGAGGACTGGGAGCTCCAGGCAGGGACCCAGGCACAGTTTAGGGAAGTGGAGCTGTCATTCATTTCTGGAGACCTGGCTGCCATGGCCAAAGAGCAAGTGCAGCAGGAAGGACAGGCAGCTTGGGGGTGCAAAGGACAGCACTGACACTCACCATGTCTCCATAGATCTCGTCAGCAAGAATGGGCACGCACTGTCTTGATGCCACTGTGGGAGAGAGAGCATTCAGCCTGGCCATGGAAGCAGACTCACCCTTTGCTGTGGGGCCTGGCAAGACTCTGAGGGAAGTTCTGTCCCAGGGCAGAGGGTCCCTATCTTCCTCCTACAGACTGTTCATTTGGAGAGCCCAAGCATTGGAGATCCCTGCCCTGGCTGAACCTAGTCCTGCTCTCACCTGTGGGGGCTGGCAGCACAGCCCTCCCAGGGCTCAGGAAGCGCAGGGCTGCCTGTGAACACCCTCCCTCTGTGGAGCCAGAGTGGAGAAATGGGCAAAGCCACAGAGCTTTGCATGTTCTTGCTAAGGCAACACCATCACACCGAGCAAGCCCTGCTTCCTGAGCTGGAGCCAGTCACGAGGAATGAAGCAAAGCCCTGAGCAACGGTGCTGCAGGGATCGAGACATGGGCAATGTGGGCAGACCTGAGCCTACACCCGTGCCCCAGACACACGCAGACTGGCTCACCTGCCAGGATCTTCTGGAGGTGACTCTTGCTGAACACAGAGCCACAGGGGTTTGACGGGTTGTTCACAATGAGGCAAGCTGTCTTCTCATCCACCAGAGACTCCAAGTGCTCCAAATCGATTTCCCAGCCCTTCTCTGGCTAGTAAAGTGAAGGGGAAGTAACAGCTGAGGAACTGGATGAGGTATCACTTCATAGAGGTGAGGTACAATTTTTTTTTTTTGAGCCACAGCCCAGATAGAGTAGTTTCACATGCCTTTGGCAGATAAATTTTATAGCTTTCTGAAGCGATTGTTTTTTCAGCTACATGACTTCCTGCAGGGGTGTTTTAATTTTGTTGGTGTATCACCTTAGTTATGTATTGCTTTGAAGTTATTCTTTGTATCTGATGGTAAGAGGACGGAAAACAAACATGACTGTTTATTCTCTTCCCCTTGCCCTGCAATGGTTTGGTGTAGCCTTTGCTCTGGATTGCACAAACACAGGCCACATGGAATAGGAGATACAAAAGAAGAGGCCATACAAAGAACAGGTACTTGACACCTTTATGCTGGCAGGTTTTTTCTCTTAAGTTGCCCTTGTTAAGCAGCGCTCACATGCATAAACCCCCAAATGGCAGGTCAGGCCCTGAAGACAGAAAATGGCTGAAAACTAAGGGGTGCACCCATGTGTCAAATGACTATTGCCAGATGAATAAAAAAGAATATCACAGTTCCTGAACTGAATACACCAGTGTTGTAGTGGGTTATGGGAGTTTCTTTGCCATGGCAGAGTGGTAATATTTGCAGCCACCTGCCTATAACTGCATGAAGCAGTCTCCCACCCACCCACAAAGGGTTGCTCAGGTCATCTTCACCCACCTCCCAGGCAGAGACAGAGCTGTCAGGGGTGCCCCTTCCAGGCCTGCCACCACTTACCAAGAGGTTGTAGAGTTTGACCTCAATCCCCATAGACAAGGCCAGAGTCTTGTAGAGGGAGAAGCCAGGTCGTGGCACCAGGATGTTCTGGCCTGGGTTGGCCAGCACTGCCAAGGCAAGTTCGATGGCCTGGCTGCAGCCGCTCGTTAAGATGACGTCCTGCAAAGAGCACATGGGAGTCAGTGGAAAGCACAGCCACTCTGAAGTGGCCCGGCCACGTGGGAGTGACACACTGCCCAGGCTCTGCCAGGTGACAGCCTCTCAGCCAAAAAGACAAGTTCAGATCATGACTGAAAGCAGGAAACCTCCACAGCTGGAGAGCTCAGCATCCTCCCCAGGAGGGTGGAGGAGGAGGGCTCAGGGCAGGGGGTGAGAGCAGCAGGAGGCTGCTGGGGACAAGGCCACAGCCTCGCCTTCAGTCCCACGGCTGGGCAGGGCCCCGTGCCATGTGGTCTGGGCACGGGCAGCAGCACCCTGCCTGCGTTACGGCGTGAGTACCTCGGCTGGGCACCAGTACCTGGGCCTCCAGCGGTGCCTCTGGGCAGCTGTAGTACGCGGCCACTGCTTCCCGGCAGGACTGGTAGCCTGGCAAAAGAGGAGCCAAAGATGGAAGGGAGGGTTTCTACAGACCGTTTCCTTCTTGCAGATATAAAACTCACAGCTGCCACCCAGCCGGGGGAAGCCCATTTTGTAGCGACACTGTCCTGCCTCAGGCCAAGCACCACACAGCCCAGAGGCTGGGCCAGCTGGGCCGAGAGCAGGGACAGACCCTGGGCAGGGTGGCAGGCTCTGGCCTCAGCATCTCCTGGGCAGAGAACTGACAAGAGAAGGGTGGAGGGTAGCCAGGGAGCTGCTCCGACCCAGCCGGAGGCCAAGTGCTATCTCATGGCCTTCGCTGTTCAGTGCTGGCACAGGGGCAGCCCCCCCCCCACCGTCACCACGTGCAGCGTCCTGTGAGGGGTGATCTATGCCCTGCGTGTGTTTTTTGCACTAACTCCAAACTGTTGTCTGTGAAGCCCGGGAGAGTCCTGGACAGGGAGATCAGAAAGGAACTTGGCTGCAACCCACGGCGGGGAGACACAGTCCTGAGCCCTTCTGGGTACCTGAAACCCTTCCTGCTTTAGTATCTGGGGGAGCAAACACAGCCTCTGCAGGAGGCTCTGGGCCTCACACAGATCATGCAGGGAAGGGTGCTCAGGCGTGTCTGGGGAATACACGGGCTTGTGGGCTCACAGGACTGTTGGTGGGGCTGCAGGGTGCTACTGGAAAGATGTCCGTGGGCTCCACACACCTGCTGTGAGGTAGGAGCTGGCACATGCCTTCATCCTACTCTCACAGGAAAAGCTTTGTCAACTTACCAACAGAAGGAGCATAACCGTTGTAACGTCCTGAGTCCAAAACCTCCTTCACGGCCCGTGTGACCTCATCATTTGTGGGAAGGTTTCCAAAGACCGTCGGGTCTCCTTTTCGAAGATTGAAAAATAGTCAAGTTCTCACTGATCTGTGACAGGCAGAGAGCTGTGTGGTTGTCTGGCCTATCCCTGGGTGTTCGCACAAGCTTTGTGCTTCAGATCCCTGCAATCTGCCAGCCACACAGTCAACCCCGCTGCCCAGAGGCTTCAGCCACAGCACTATGCTCACCTAAGGACAAGGAGATCATAGCTTTCCTTGGGTTGGGCTCCACTTTCATGCTGTCTACAATGGCTCGGACAGGATTGAAAGTCTTCTTGGACATTTCAGAAGCCCTGACGGCCCATCTTGGCTTCCGGCTCTTCACTTTCCCCATTGATATGCTGTTCCCATTGGTCTTGAGATGAACATCCAGCATAGGGGCATGATCTCCGTGACCATTCACTTGGATCAGGTACGAGTCCATCTTGAGAGCTGTCAGTGTGAAATGCATTTCCTGGGCTTAGTTAACACATGCAAAACAAGGGATCGTCCCATCTGGGGACACAGCCCACTACTCTCCAAAAGTAAAACTTCTGAACGCTGTAGACCCTACCTACTGCCTACGGACAATTCAGCAGCAGCAAGTAGGGAAGTATCCAGGGCCAGGATGGAGTGAAACCCCACACATAAGTGGGAGCACAGTGTAGAGGGAAAGATGAAGGCACCTTCATCTGTGCCAGCTGCACTGCTGCCCAGCATGGACTTGCTGTGCTGAGGAGGAGCAGGCCCTGCTAAAGCCACCAGCCAAGAGTTCGCAGCATGTTGTGGTCACTGCTTGACTGCAGATTCAACGTACCACTGAGTTCAAAAGGGCCAGGTCACCCCCCTCCACCCCCCAGCTATCAACTTGCACACCTCAAGCTGCAACCACAAGGATCAGCCCACTATCTGTGTTCACATCCAGAATGTCCCTCCAGTCTGCAGACAGAAACACAACACTGTTTAAATCAGATCTCAGATGCCAAAAAAGCACTTCTGGTCCAATGTTACCAGGATGCACTGGACAGCAGCAGGGTGCAGGTTACAGACGCTTCTGTCTGCAGAGCAAGAGGGAGCAACAGCCCAGCCCAGAGACCCTAGATCAAAATGCAGCACTTAGAAAACGAGTGAGACTGGTACAGTACGAGGGAAATCAGGGAGATGGCACTGCCCCAGGCAAAGGGCCTGAAGTCCTACCTCAGGCTGGGTAACCAGCAAGGCACAGCACAGGAACAACTGCTTTCTAGGCCCCAAAATGCACACAAAAATGAGTTACACACCCCAATACATATATGCAAAGCACAAGCCAGACTCGGTCAGGAAAAACCTTATGAACTGCTGCTGGGTCAGGGCTTTCCACTGAAGAAGGTTAGGGACAGGGCACAGGGCAGGCAGAGAGCTCCTGAGCTACCAAGTCCATTCATACTGATAATGCTACACTGTCTTGTAATCCTCCCATAAACTGCTTACGCTCTCTGTCCTGCCCTATTTCTCTGCTGCACTGAAAGCTATTCAGTGAACAGCGGCCCTTTCCTGACGGTAGTTACTTAGCCCCATGCTCGTGGATAATCACAACACAGCTACCCCTTTCTTGCTGCAGAGACTGAGCGGGAAGGGTTCTGGTGTTCCCTTGTTCAGGCAGGATTTGCCATCCGAACAAATTTCTCACCGCTTCCGTGAAGTTTGCACCCAGAGATGCCCCACGCTGGCGCAGTTACCCTGGGAGCAGTGCATTAGCCTGTTTACAGCAACTGAGGCTGATCTAACAGGATTGCAAAGCAAGACTTCAGCTTCTCTGCTGCTAACACCTTCTGGGCACCTTTCTACTGGAAGAAAGGCAGCTGAGAAACACGCAGCAGGGCAGAGAAATTAGCCATATATCTCAGTTCAACAGCAGGGCTGAGTCCCAGGCGCACAGTGCGGAGTCTACCCCAGAAGAGCCTTCACACCACCCTGCAACGTCGTCCTCAAGCAAAGGCGAGTTGCAGACACAGGCACAATGGATGCCTTCAGTGTAAGCAGCCAGGGAAGATATCCCACTTCTCCTGAAGGAAGAAAGGTACCAGAGTATAGTACTTTACCTTCTACAGCACAGAGAGGAAGAGACCAACAAGCCTGGGGGTCCAGTCCCTGCTTTTCATCCAGGACAACTCCCCTTGAGAAGAAATTCCTGCCAATTCTTGCCCATGAAATAAGCCCCAAAACTGGGCGTAGGGACTGAATCGTTTAGCCATTGGCTCACAGAGAGGGCTGCTCTCCCCACCCAAAAACGCCCTCTCCTCCCCATTGCAACCGTGTTCACTCCAAACACCTGGAACATGCCTGCACATTAACTCTTTCTGGGGGCAGCCCACAGCAGGGGACAGCTTGTCATCCCAGGGTCCCAGGCTGCCACCCTTTTGCACCACTTCCCTCTGTCTTCAAAGACTGTGAGGGGGGAAATCTGCACAGAGTCCAGGTATTCCAGCCCTGGAACCTTATAATGCACCATGAGTGGCTTGATGGACCTCAAAGCTGATGGAAAGCCTCAGTGTGGTCTGATCTCAAAAGCTCTGGGCTCCCAGCGCAGAAGCTGAGAAAGGGCAGTTTGTGGCATCATTGCAATCATGAGACATCTTCTTCACAGGCAGAAGGGAGGCAGGCAATTCCCTAGCAATGTCTTAGAGGCACCAGGACCTGAAGGGTTAAAGGAAGTTCAAGTTGCCTTTTTTTTTTTTTTTTTTTGTTTGGCTGCTGCAAGAACCAAGCAAACTCATAATTTGGGAAGATAACAGAAATGATGCAATCCTTCCCTCTCTGATGGCGCTGCAACGCACAGATGACAGCATTCCCAGAAGGCCCTTTGTTCCTAAGTAGTATGACATCTATGCCTTCCTGCCCCTTGACTCCTGCAGGCCTGGGGTAAATAAGAGAGGCAGCTGCACCCTCCCCGTCTTCCAAGGGCTGCTCCAAGTCTTCCCTTACTGCCTTGGCAGCAAACGGTTGGAGATCAAAGAGTGGCTCAGGGTCAAGAGCCATCCTGCTAATCCTGCAAACAGACCACTGAGGCTTTCACTGCAGAGGCCAGTGGTCACTGTGATTTTTGCCTATTTACACCCGCTCCTGCGTGGGAGTAGAAGGACCACTTGAGCTCAACCCATGCTCACTACACCACCAGCCGTAAGGCTGCACATCCCCAGGTGTGAGCAGTGGCCCCAACCCTCTGTGCTGGGGCTGGGGTGACGCTGCTGGCAAGTCATGACCCGCCGTTGGCCACAGTGCTGCAATGGGCACCGAGGCCACGGTGAGGGGCTGGGGCTGGAGGCAGGCTGGGAAGTGGTGGGGTGACACCAGGACCATCCCCTGGAGGCTTTGGGCAAGGCACAGGACCTTCTAAAAACACTTCACAGAGAAATGCCTTGTATTGAAGCTTCCTGGACGCCCTTTTGCTGAGCGCTGCACAGTTCCAGACTATTTTCTGTCTTCTTTTTAGAGAAGCCTGACACGAGCAACCTTCAGAATTTCTTGCAGGCCCTCTCCAAGCACCTATGGGTTATTTTCTTGCTTCCCCCAGCTGGGCCCATCTCTTGCCATGCTGCAGCCCTGCCAGGGTTAAATGTGGCATTGGGAGGCCTCAAGGACGATGCTGCATGTTCTGCCTAGCAACAACCCCGAAGCTGATGCAACCAAAGCTCTACCAGTAATACTGCACAGAGCAGTGGGGTTCAGGGGAGGGCATGGTGGAAGCCTGCTGCCAAGAGGGCAAAAAATGTGGCTCGGGAGACACAGGCAGACCCAGTTACATAACGCTGAGAACTTGGCCAGGAGCCGGGGGAGGACAGTGGTGCACAATGGGGTCAGTGGGTTCCTGCTGCTGTTACTATGCCTTTCTGCTCTCCGCATGATTCCAGTCCTTCTCTTGATGCTCTCACATGGGGTCTGCAGCCCCCTACCACCTTGCGGTGCACAGAGCTCCCACAGCTGAAGCACGAGTGCACAGCTCAGCACTTCATGTTGTACAGACACGGCCAAGCCACCCCTGGCATGGTGTGGTGACAGAGGTGGCCATACCCTGCAGGATGCATTTCTGCCAGCACGGCAGCTGCCTGTCTTGCCCATCAGGACCTCTGTACCCCACTAGCTCTGACTAGCATCCCCCAGTTCGCTCCTCTCAGCAGCTCTCCCACACAGGCACCTTGTTGCACAGCTCTTCAGTTCCTTCTTTTTTGTGCAGCTTGAACAATTGACTTTTGTCTTTTCCCAGTGGAAGGAGAAACTGGTGATGGCCTCAATGTTATTTGGGTACTGCCTTGCTCTGTTACCAGGACTGTCCAGAGTCCCGTTTACGCGAACAGAGGCCAAGCCAGCAAGAGCAAGCAGTTCCCTCTTCCAGGACCAGCCACAGTTCCAAGGTAGGAGTGATGCACAGCTGCTGGAGTGGAGCACAGGCTCAAGCATCAGCACGGACAAACCCGTGTCTCTGTCAAGCTGCAGGTAGGACATACACTGGTAGAGTTTTGCCCATGTGCCCTGCACCCCATTCAGGGTGCACTGCTCCCAGGACAGACACCCATCTGGGTCTGTGCATAAAAATCCACCAGGGTCAGTAACAAATCACTTGACTCGTTAATCTCCTCACATTCTGCTTTTATTTTCAGCCATTTCTGTCTGCACCTTTCTGACGCTGATACATCCCCAACCAATTCAGGGCTGGTATCCACAGACATGTGTAGCCTGATCTCTGTTTGGTGTCTGCATTTCCAGCTGAATCAGCTTTTAATAACTGAATATTTTTGTCATTTTTCTTTTTTTTTTTAAATCAATTTATTGTTAATCTCTCATTTAGATAAGCAAACAGCCATGAAGCCTTCTTGGCTGTCATGAATTTAGTGTCTGTTTACCAATTCCCACAGCATATTTATAAGACTGCAGGAGGTTTCCTGAAATCCAAGGAACAAACCTTGTCTGCTACAGGTCACTTCACATGGACACTCTGAAAACACACATATCCACAGTTAAATCTGCCTTTCCGTATGGACAGGGCTGCCGTGCCAAACCTACATATATCTGCATGAGTCTTTGATCAAACCATGATGATGGTTGTGCCTCCAGCAATCCTGATTGCCCAGCATCCACCTGAAACAGAACACAGCACCAGTTATCTCTTTGCATAATCAGAGCAGAAAATCAGCTCAAAAAAACCCCAGCTATGTTCTACAAAGCTGTGCAAACACTGTGTTTAAGGGCCAGAGAGATGACACAATCCCCACAGAATGACTCAAAGCCAGTAACCAAGTGATTCAAAAATATACAGTCGCCGCTTTATGTACCTACCATACTTTGGATCAGTTGTGATTTGATCTCAAAAATCTGAAAGACATTAAAAGGCAAATCACACAGTCTAGCTAGAGATGCTTCAGTCTGGAAGAGCAGCCTGGGCACAGCAAGCGGTTTGCAGCGTGCTCT